GCAGGCCTCGACAAGGCCTCGTTCGGTTGGGGCAAAAAGTCGCTTGTCACGGCGATTGGTGGACAATCTCGGGCATCAACCTGCGCACCAAGCAACCAACACGACAAGAAGAACAAACAATTGAGTAGTCAAAAAAAGAAATGTTCGAGAACAAAGTTTCCTCAATGACCAACCATTTCACTTCCCCTCTGAGTTTGTATGTCGCCATGTCTATTTGCATGCATGCGTAAATATGTATGTGTGTGCGTGCGTGCATGCATGCATGCATATATCAATATGCATCAACGAATGGATGAATGAATACACGATTTAATGGTTAAATAGATGATTGAATGAATGGAAGAATGAATCAATGAATCAATAACTGAACGAATGCAGCAAGTAATAAACACATTAATTGTGCATTGAAGGAATGAATGAATGAATGAATGAATGAATGCATGCATGAAACTGTGAATTATGTAATGAAGGAAAGAGGGAAGGTTTAAATGAAGGCGCAATTGCGTTGATGAATGAATGAATCTTTTAGACTAACAATCAATCAATTGCCTAACTAGCCAAGCGACCAACGTACCAATCCTTTTTTAATTGGGTAAGCAAAGAAGTAATGAATGAATGAAGACACAAACCAACCAATCAATCAATAAATGAATGAATGAATGAATGAATGAACGAGTGAATGAGTAAACAAATGTGCGCATGGCTGCTGCTTGTCGGGGAGCGTGTTCTCGGCCTTTTTTCCGGTTCCAAAATTGGTTTAGCCTCTTGCGCGCTCTCTCTCTCTCTTTTACACTTTTGCTTATGCACTCGCTCTCACTCTTTTTCCATTCTCCTCTTGACGCTGGCCTTTGCACTTTCTCATTCTGCCTCACTCTTCGCCGTGCCCTGCCTCTTGTTCCTCTCTTTCTCTCTCGCTCTTGCCTTTGCTGTTGCTGTTGCTGTTGCTGTTGCTGTTGCTGTTGCTGTTGATGGTCCGCTCTTCGTTTTATTTCATCCTCCTCATCGTCCTCGCCTTCTCTCACTCCATCGGCTCTCTTTCATTTTCTCTTTCTCGCTTGCCTCCAATCGGCCTCGCCAACAGCCTTTGCTCCACTTTTGTCTTCTCGCCTCCTTTTCTCTTCTTCTCTCCGGCCCCCTCTGCCTCATTCTCGCTCACGCGCCTCCAAAGTTGCCTTTTGCCTTTTCTTCCGCTGCTCTGCCGCCTCCGTGCGCGCTCGCGAGGCCTGTCGGCGCCTTCTGCCGGGCCCGCCTTCGACCGACTCACGTCGTGAATCCGTTCTCTCGTGTGCCTCTTCATCAGGCGCCGTTGTGCGTGTGTGCCACGCGCGCGTCTCACGGCCTATGGCCTATGGGCTCGTTGGCTGCCGCTCGTGTTGGTTGCGCGACTCGCAAGACGCGCCTCGTTCGTGTCCGGCCTGCGCGCTGCCAGCCTTTGGGCCAGGCAGTGAGGCGTGTGTCGCGTGACCTGGCCATCGTGTCACTGTGCCGCATTGGCAAGCGCGATCAGTCGCCTCGATTCGGCTTTATCGCCTCAACCGGCCACAGCCTCACACGCGCACGCCTGAGCACGTGGCCAGGCCAACAGTGAAATAAGCCTGCAGTGTCGTTCGGTGATCACGTCTATTTCCGTGTCTCTCCGCTTGCCTGTCTGTCCGTCTGTCTGCTCGACTCTCGCCTGCCCAGCTCAAAACTGCCACCATCATCGATTGCCACTGCCCGCCCGAATTTGCCGGCTCGACCGCCTGC